TGAAATGTATGGCCACGTTACTTATAGGCCATCGACTGCGCAAATATGGGTATTAGGGACTATTTTTTACCAACTTTCTGAAAGAATCGAACCATTTCAAAAAGAACAATTTGTAAAGCCTTAGGACCGGTCATGTTTAGCAAATATAATCGCCCTTCGGAAGAATGCGTGGAGTTTGGTAAAGCGGGCATTGGGATGTCTTGTACTACAATAACAAATTTTGGCATATTAGCAATTGCTAAGAAACACATCGACATGACCCTGCATATCTGCTAATGAATGGATCACATAATATTAGTTAGCGAAAGTTCTTCATATTAACCAATTCTAGCATGTATTTCAACAATCTTGTGGTTGAATGATTTTGTAATCCTGTCACCATGTAAATGTCCCCAAAACCGCATTTACAGTACATAAAAGTATATAGTCCCCGTCACTATGTAAAATCCCGGACAACGCATTTACAAATGGTGCATTCGCAAAAACAGATCAACGAGTAGGAATGAAAGATGAATGAAAAGAAGAAAAAAAAGGAATTAGTCCAATAATTTTCGAAGGAAAGAAAATAAACACTAATGATTCCGAAGCCAAAGAATATTTTGAAAAAAACCACCAAGCAGAGCTGTCTAAACATGACTTTATCTAATTTCTGGCGGTCTCGGACAAGTTATATCGTTATAAGAATCATCGGCAAACCTTCTTCTGCGGTAAGACAGGAAAAAGAACCAATACAAATTTTGACTTTCCTTCGTGCTACCGCTGCCCAATACAAATTTGTTATTGTGGTACAAGACATCACATGCCCGCATTTACACAACCAATTTTCAATAATCGACTATCACGCACATAACAGAACAGGACAAAGAGATAAATTACATCATCGTTTCATTACGCGATAAATGTTGATCGCTACTACAAATGTGGTCATTACCTTGCTGATGAGCAACAAGACTTATTATTAAACTATAATTAACAAGTTTCGTGAATACCGAATATTTGATACGATAAATAAATATACTCGTATTCGTAGACAAATGTCCACAGAGCATCTGTTTAACTATGGGGGCAGTAAGAGATTAACACGGTCTACGCGAGTAAAACAAGTGCCATGGGTGTAGGCATAGATAGAGCCTCGGAATAACCAAGTAGCATTGACCAAAGGATTGCTGAATACGGGCTGTGCATTGTTGCAATATGTCTAGTTCGAACAGCCGTAATTGGTCTCCTCGTGAAGCAGATAGGAGATGTTAAATCTCTCAGTCCGACATGTGCATGGTGAACTTGGAAAGTCGGTTTGATCATTGTCATCATGTAATCTAGCATGGGGGCGATTCAAAGACACTGTACCAAACAAAGGTTTCTATTCTAGCCCGGAATGGCATAGCAATGCCGTGTAACAAAAAATGCCGCCATTTCATCTTCATTGCAGTAGCTTTACATAATACGTATAGACAACAGAAGCAAAAGGTATTGATAATCATGAAAACACATCGACATGACCCTGCATTTTTGGTACTGCATGTGCGACCTTTTGAGTGCTAAAACGTAGTTTACGTAAGTATTAACGCCATATGGCGCGCGCAACATGTGGTTTACTATAATTATGCGGCCTCAGCGTTTTACGGATAATAATAAACTTATTTTTTGAAAAACAAATTATATGCCGGCTAGCGGTCATCTCGACCAAGCTTTTTCTCGCTGCCCACCACTTGACAATTTGATAAACTCGTCCAGAACACCAACCAGTCGTCATTATCTTAAATGGGTTCGATCAAAAACTCTTAAACTAGAGGCTTTTCCATTTAACACTCATCATACCATTTCGAAAGACTCATATCAATATCAGAACAAGACATCGGTAATACTATTGCTAATCGGTTCCGGGACTACATGTACACAAAAGTCCATTGATGAATTTTCTAGAATACATTCGCTGCCAACTGCACAATACAGCCAGCCGTTTAATTCTGACAACTTTAGAAGGTATTCAATCTTGCTTGTGAGACGCAACCGATTGATAAAAGGCTTTACCGAGCTCGATAATAATTTCTATATGGTGGCTAAGAAAA